GTGCAGCCGGGAAAGGTCCTAGACCAGGTAGGTGAGACTCAACTGGTGCAGTAGTGCGCTGGCGAAGGCGCGAAGGCCAGTGCGGTGTAATAGCGTGAGGACCAAAACGCTCACGGTGGAGGTCGTCGAGTCGACGGTAGCAGCTGGACGCAGTGTGATCAGGACTCCAGCAGGTAGTACCAACACCAGGGCCTGTCAGGCCCCGGTACCCGCGGGGGCCGACGTCTCGCCCACTGCTAGCTCCACTGCTGGGGGCGCCACACTTTGGACCCGCAGGCCCCCACTGACGGGAGTGCTGCGGCTGGCCCTGCTGCTGTAGAACCCTAGTACACGCCATGTGAGCCTATGCTGCTGCTGGTTCTGCTGGGGGCAGCCTAAGCTGCTGCTGGTGCGCTGGGGGCAGCCTGTGCTGCTTCTGGTTCTGCTGGGGGGCAGCCTAGGCTGCTACTGGTTCTCCAGGGGGTAGCCAATGCTGCTGCTGGTGCGCTGGCGGTAGCCTAAGCTGCTGCTGGTGCGCTGGGGGCAGCCTATGCTGCTGCTGGTTCGCTGGGGGCAGCCTATGCTGCTTCTGGCTCTGCTGGGGGCAGCCTATGCTGCTTCTGGCTCTGCTGGGAGCAGCCTATGCTGCTGCTGGTGCGCTGGCGGCAGCCTATGCTGCTTCTGGTTCTGCTGGGGGCAGCCTACGCTGCTGCTGGTGCACTGGGGGCAGCCTATGCTGCTGCTGGTGCTGCTGGCGGCAGTGTAATCGGCTGGGGCTACTGGCGGCGGGTGTGGCAGCTCGTGGGGAGGCGGGTTACAGGTGGGGAAGCTGTTAAGGCAGCGGGCTACGGGTGGGGAAGGTGAGGCGGCGGTTCTGTGCGGTTCAATGCGGTAGAGAGGACTGGGTGGGGCGGCTGATTCCGGGTGAGGTGCCTGGAACGGGTGGGGCAGCAGGTTTCCAGGTGGGGCGGCGGTTGTCAGGTCTGGGGCGGCGGTTTTCAGGTCTGGGGCGGCGGGTTTCCAGGTTCGGCGGCCGATTTCAGGTCTGTAATGGCGGGTTTTCAGGTCTGGGGAGCGGTTAAGACGGTGGGCTGCACGTGCGCGCGGCTGTTGCTGCACGTGCGTGCGGTCGCGACGTACTAGCGCAGAGCTGCGGGTGCGACTAAGGCTGCGCGCGCAGCTACGCGCGTTCGTCTGCTGCGCGCTAGAGGGCTGGGGGGAAACGCGCGGGGTAAAACGAGTGGGGCGCGGGGCAGAAAACCGAGTGACGCACGGCAAAAACGGGTGGGGCGCAGGGCAGAAACAGGTGACGTGCGATGGCGACGGGGGGCGCGGCCTACTCGGGCTCTACGGGGCAGGGCGCTTCGGGCTACGGGCTGTTACGAGGCGCGCGGGTGGTGGGCCCATAGACTATCGAGAGAAATTTCGCCTAGGGAAGAAATCGCCTAGGGGAAAAATCGCCTAAGCGAAACCTAGCTCTATACCATGTTACGATAAGAATGAATTGATAGAAAATGTGAAGTACAACCCTAGATATAGCAAACCCTATTCATGCAAGGAAGTAGAAATGCAACACCTAGACTAACCTAATCAACACATATAAAATATATGTTGATAGAGGTTCCCCCACCTGGGGCGAACATTGTCAGTGGCATGTGGATTTTCAGGGTGAAGCGGCCGCCGGGTTCTCCGCCTGCCTTCAAGGCACGTTACGTCGCTCGAGGCTTCAGTCAGCGTGAGGGGGTTGACTTCTTTCAGACCTTCTCCCCCACCCCGAAGATGACCACTCTTCGGGTGTTGCTACACGTTGCAGCTCAGCGTGACTACGAGCTGCACTCCCTCGACTTTTCGACAGCTTTCTTGCAGGGTAGCCTTCACGAGGCCATCTGGCTGCGCCGTCCAGAAGGCTTCACTGGGTCGTTTCCTGAGGGTACCCAGTGGAGCCTACGGCGACCAGTATACGGCCTGCGTCAGGCGCCCCGCGAGTGGCACGACACACTGAGGACGACACTTGCGGCTCTTGGGTTTGCTCCTTCGACTGCTGACCCGTCGCTGTTTCTACGCTCCGACACTACTCTGCTGGCGTTCTACATCCTCGTGTACGTCGACGACTTGGTTTTTGCTACTGCTGACACAGAGGCGCTGGCCCTAGTGAAGGCGGAGCTGCAGGAGAGACACACCTGCACTGACCTGGGTGAGCTGCGGAGCTATCTTGGCTTGCAGATCACCCGGGACAGAGCACGGCGCACCATCACCCTGACTCAGTCACACATGGTGCACCAGGTCCTTCAGCGCTTCGGCTTCCAGTACTCCTCGCCACAGCCCACTCCTCTGTCTACCGGTCACTCGCTCTCAGCTCCATCTTCGGACGAGTCCGTAGAGCCGAGTGGTCCGTACCCAGAGCTTGTGGGTTGCCTCATGTACCTGATGACGTGCACACGACCTGACCTCGCGTACCCTCTCAGCCTCCTGGCTCGCTACGTGGCACCTGGTAGACACCAAAAGGTGCACTTTGATGCTGCAAGAGGGTACTGCGTTACTTGTGCAGTACATCGGGCATGGGGCTCGTGCTTGGAGGACGGGGTTCAGTGGTACTCACAGGACACTCTGACGCTTCTTGGGCCGACGACCAGGCGACTTAGCGTTCGTCACAGGATTACACCTTCAGTCTTGGCTCTGGTTCTGTCTCGTGGAGGTCCACTCGTTCTTCTTCTGTGCTTGGTTCCAGCTGTGAGGCCGAGATCTACGGTGGGGCCATGGCTGCACAGGAGCTACGCTGGCTGACCTATTTGCTGACCGACTTGGGGGAGCGGCCTCGTTCTCCTCCAGTTCTGTACGTCGACAACAAGGCAATGCTGGCCCTGTGTCAGGAGCACAGACTGGAGCACAGAACGAAGCACATTGCTCTGCGCTACTTCCTTGCGCGTAAGCTGCAGCAGCGTGGTCAGATGCGCCTTGCTTACGTGGCCTCTCGAGCCAACACTGCTGATGTCTTCACCAAGGCCCTTGGGTCTGGTGATCATCAGCGTTTCTGCACTGCTCTTGGGCTTGTGCCCATTCTGCCTCACCTGCTGGTTGCTTGACTTGCTCTTGTTGTACACTGATATATATCTTAATACCTGCTTGTTTACTCTTGCTAGGTTGTGATCAGTGTACTGCCTTGCTATTATAACTTTGCCTGTGAACTGGCCTTGTGGCCGCTTGCTTGTGCTCATAATGCGTGGTGATCTTGAGATCCACCCTGAGCTTTGCTTTGCTTTGTTCTCTTGCTTGACTGGTCTTGTGACCGTCCGGTGTGTTTGCTATCCCCCACTTTGCCTATGGGGGTGTGTCAAATTGCATTTGTTATCTCTAGACTGTAGTGGGGCTTACTCATGCATGCTACCTAGTCCACCATTCCCGCTTGCTTATTCTAACGCTTGCTTGTACTCAGAATGCGTGATAATCTTGAGATCCACCCTGGGCTTTGCTTTGCTTTGTTCTCTTGCCTGACTGGTCTTGTGACCGTTTGTTGTGTTGGCTATCCCTCACTTTGCCTATGGGTGTGTGTCAACACATATTTATATGTTCTTAGTTCTGCTAGGCTACAGTGAGGTGCTCAGTATAGAGTACAACCCCAGTTAGGGTTTACTACTTGTATCTCCTGTTAGAAACTGAACTAGGAAGGAATGATTGACTTAGGCAGGAAGGGGAGTACAAGTAGGGGAAACCTAACCCTAAAGTGTTGTACTCAATATGAGTGACCCTACTACAGCCTAGAGATAGAATTGTAATTTGACATCTCCTTGTTCCTAGTCGTTCATCATTCCTGCACAGTTCTCTCGACATCCCGTTGCTCTTCCAACTGCACCTCCCAACTAGACACTCAAGTGTCTACCGTCAGGGCCCAAATTTCAAGGGTAAAATTCCCTTTTTGCCTTGATGGTAGGCCGCTTTTTGGCAGTTACCCTTGTGAAATCAGGCTATGAATTTTTTTACCCTAGTGAAATCATGATTCGTTGTAAACTACACTGGTAACAATTTTGGTTACACTGGCTGTATCAGGGTACGGGCCCAACTATACCTTTACCGGATCTTTTTTTAACCGACGATTCCGCCACAGTGCGCGCCAAGACAAAATTCTCTACGGTCCCACTGGACCATTTGTACGGTATGCCCACTGGCGCACAAACGTAGAAGCAGTGCGGCTGCACGCGCGCTCGTACGATTGGTCCGTTAAGCAAGATTTGCGCCAACGCACCCGGGTTTAGGGCGTTCCTGTTTGTCAAACAGCCTAACAACAATTCTACCCTGGTACAATCAGTGTAACAGGATTTTTTGGCTGTTTTGGCTGCTGGCATCAGGGTACGGAAATTTTTACCCTAAGGGTCAGGGTACGGGGGGCCTGATGGTACCCTGATTTGCAAGAGTGGACCTAAACCTATTTTGGGCCCTGTCTACCGTATAGTTCCGGCTATAAGACCCGCCGGTAAGAAGGTCCCCCGGGACTCTTGAATGGGTAGGGGGACTCTTATTGTGGCAGGTTTTGTGAGGACCCCCCTTTAGCCGCTAATCATCATAAGACCCCCCTTTTCTGTATACAGTAGTTATAATTGCTATTGTGCGTCAGCTTTTACTGGCATAAATTCGAATTCTGACACGCTTTTTGTGTCAGACTCGAATTCTGACACTTCATATGTGTCAGACTCGAATTCTGACACAGTTCTGACGCGCCGCACGTGCGAAATTTGCGCGAATTCGTTACGAATATAAGATTCCCCCCCCGCCCCAAACTGAGCCGTACACCCTAAATATCAGATTGATAATTGATAAATAAGTTACCCCGGGTCTTAAAAAATTGCTGCCGCCATAATGTCCACCCAAGCACATTTTCCAGCATTTGTAGAGAGTCCCCCAGGTCTTATAGCCGGAACTATACGGTATGTGACAGTGCTGCTACCTTACACAACAGGCAGAACTAAGAGGGTGGGATGGGATACATGAAATTGTTGCAACTTTTTAGACTGCCCGAGTCATGAGATTCACAACAGTTGTTCTTGCTCTGTCTCCCGCATCTTAATCTCATCGGCATTAGCTGCACACGTGCACATGGGCATGTAGTGAAAGCAGAGTGGAAAAGGCATGGTATGCAGAAAACGAACGTAGACACAAGAGTCATAGACACCAACTTCGTTACATTGTACAAACTGTATGCATTCATGTGGGTTACACACATGCACAGAAATTTGCACATGCACACACACATGGGGGTACACTTTCACAAAAAAGCAGTCGTTGTGGCAGTGAAAGGCAGCAATGAGCAATGCATGACGCCACGACTCACAGTGGCAGGCGGGCGTGCCAGGCTTGCCCGGGGAGGAGATGGCGAAGAGGCGGCGCTGCAGCACAGCAGCCATGGCGAGGAAGATGGAGCACATGCCGAACATGGCTGTTATGGGGAAGGCGCTCACCTGCCGCCAGGGGGGGTGTGGCAGGGGCGGGAAGGGGTGAGGGGGAAGAGGAGGGGTGAAGGTAACGAGGATTGGAAGAGATGGGTGTGAAAATGATGTGACAAGAAAAGGCACATACATTGTAGAGCACACATACATTGTAGAGCACACATACATTGTAGAGCACACATACATTGTAGAGCACGATGCAGACGAAGCAGTTGAGGGGGATACGGAAGAAGTTCATGATGGTGGCGCGCGCCTCCTCGGGGATGAACTGCGACCTCATCTTCATCATGGACGGCCAGAACACGCCCACACACACCTCAAACACACAGAACCCCACCAGCTGCACCCTCCCCCCGCGCGTGATGCCCCCCCCGTCCGGCGCCACTGGCTCCAACACAAACTGCATACCACGTGGCGGGATGGGCGGAGGGATGGGCGGAGGGATGGGCAGTAAGGCAAATAAAGCACAAGACACAACAATGAGATGGCTGGAAAGACGCAGGGAGTGGTGATGCGGCGGAAATGAGGGCTTGGGATGTGTAGTGGTGCGACGAGGAGACGAATGGGAAAGTTTGGGTTCAGCTAGCACGAGAGAGCACGTGGATAGAACAACCCCTTGAAAATGGAAAGTCGAAAAATAAACAATAAAACAAGTGCAGGCGACGAGTGAGCAGTGTATCACACAGAGTGAGTGAGCAGTGTATCACACAGAGCGAGTGAGCAGTGTATCACACAGAGCGAGTGAGCAGTGTATCACACAGAGCGAGTGAGCAGTGTATCACACAGAGCGAGTGAGCAGTGTATCACACAGAGCGAGTGAGCAGTGTATCACACAGAGCGAGTGAGCAGTGTATCACACAGAGCGAGTGAGCAGTGTATCACACAGAGCGAGTGAGCAGTGTATCACACAGAGCGAGTGAGCAGTGTATCACACAGAGCGAGTGAGCAGTGTATCACACAGAGCGAGTGAGCAGTGTATCACACAGAGCGAGTGAGCAGTGTATCACACAGAGCGAGTGAGCAGTGTATCACACAGAGCGAGTGAGCAGTGTATCACACAGAGCGAGTGAGCAGTGTATCACACAGAGCGAGTGAGCAGTGTATCACACAGATCGAGTGAGCAGTGTATCACACAGAGCGAGTGAGCAGTGTATCACACAGAGCGAGTGAGCAGTGTATCACACAGAGCGAGTGAGCAGTGTATCACACAGAGCGAGTGAGCAGTGTATCACACAGAGCGAGTGAGCAGTGTATCACACAGAGCGAGTGAGCAGTGTATCACACAGAGCGAGTGGGCAGTGTATCACACAGAGCGAGTGAGCAGTGTATCACACAGAGCGAGTGCAGAGCGAGCGCAGGAGGGAGAGACATGGGGGGAGGGTTGAGGAAGCAGGTGGGGCGCAGAGGAGCACTGACGAAGGCGAAGAGAGGGACGAGGAGGGAGAGGGAGGAGACGGCGAAGACGATCTGCATGTAGAGCTCCACGCGCAGGGTGGGGCGCGCCATGAGGCGGGCGGCGAGGGAGGAGCCGGTCATGGAGGCGAGCATGAAGATGGCGAAGATGAACCCGTGTGGGATGCGCTGGTCCGAGGGCGCCAGGGCGGGCGTCCAGAGGAAGACAAAGGTGTACATGCTGCCCTCAAACAGCGACTGGATGGCTCCCAGCAGCGCTATCTTCTCATCTGCCACACACATGGCACGCATGGCAGTGAGGAAGAACCGGGAAACGGATAGATTGTGCAAATGTCAAGAGATGTTGCGGCATCCAGACAGGAGCATGCTTGGTGCACAATGTGAGTGGTGGGAGAGAGATCTAAATTGGCCCGGAGAGAACGATGCCAAGCAGAACGTTGCCAGAAGGGTTCATGAAACGACCAGCGATGAGCCGTGACATGTACGGGGAACACAGAGGAGTAAGGAAGTGCGTTTGGTATTGCAGCGATGGCATGGCCGTGGCACGTGTGAGAACCCTTGGGATCCCTGCCGCAGGGCCATTACAATGCACTGTGCACTCCCGGTCCCACAGCGTGTTGAGTCGTCCCACCCGAGGTTAGGCTGGCAGCTGCTTGGCCAGGCAGGCCCAAGCCACCCGAGTGGCTGCCAGCTCAAGCTGGGCCGTGTCTGTTGGGGGACCGAGCCGTGCACTCATATTTCACATGGAGAAAAGTATAGATACGAGTCGTATACAGTGCTGCTCACTTCATCTGTACTTCACAGCCTGCTCGGCCCGACCCTTGCTCATGCTTATACACTGGGGCATGCCCGTGATTACAAGTGTCTCAAACTCCTTCACCCAGCATGCTCAGCCTCACACTGTGCGCCAAGCCTCTGAGCACTGGCTCGTCGCCAACGTTCCAATTGTTGGAGCATCGCCCCGATCTCACATGAGGGTTGGGTTGGATGTTACAACACTATCCCAACCTTATTCAAATGTGATTAACCGAACTCCCCAACCCACCAAGTAGGCATTTCAGCTAATCTTACTGAGAATCGCCTTTAACTTCCAACCCATCCTTCTCAACTCACAAGAGATCTAAGGAAAGAGCCTCAAGCTCTACCTCGATGTCCGACACCAAGGACTTGCTCTTCTTCCTCCCCTCTCCGCCACATCCTGCAACATCCATGTCCCGTGCGCACATCTTCCTCTTTCTCCACCATCTCGCTCGCACGTATGCTCGCTCTAGAAGCCCCTACAACAACCACCCTCGCAGAATATTTTCTCTCGAAAAGATCAATGAGGGCACTTGGAGAGACCCATGGGAGCACTGCGACTGACTCAATGCTCTGCTTGCACAAGCGTGACCTTAATTCCGCTCACTACGGCTGTCCAGTGGAGGAGCTACGTCTTTCTCTCCCCCCAAGCCCACCTGAGGCGATGGCGGAGGCGGCGGCGTGGAACTGTGCGAGGAGCCCCTTGGAGTCGCTGCTGTCGCCGTAGTTCTCCGGCCACGTGGCCGCGATGATGGCGCCGCCCACCAGCAGCACGAGGGCAGCGGCGTCAAAGGGGGCAACGGGGCCGAGGGCCAGCGACGTGACGAGCGAGTTGGCGAGCAGCCCTGAGAGGATGGCGACCAGCCCGTTGCCCAGCCAGATGGCCGAGGAAAACGTCACTGACAGCCACTGCGCCTCAAAGCCGCGCTGGGAGGGATGGGGAGCATTGGAGGGGAGGGGGAAGAGACACGAAATGGGAGGTACAGAGTGGCGGAACGGGTGGTGCAGCCATGCTTGCATGTGGCGGACCGAAAAGAGCACAAGGCGAGGACCTGACTTGCTGTACCTTGAAGTGCTCCGCCACGAGCCAGCTCTCGAAGGCGGAGAAGAGCAGCGAGGTGGCGATGCCGCCCAGCACGCGGCCCAGCATGAGCAGGCGGTAGTCGGGCGAGTGCTTGGTGAGGCACGACAGCACGTACACCGCACAGTACGTCAGTGATGCCCGCCGCCGCCCACTGCTCACCGGCCAGCCATGCAAGTGCGGAGGAGGGGAGGGGAAGGTAGAGGCAGTGAGAGTGCGAGGCGCAACCCCACTTGTACAGTCTAGTGATGTGAGACATGACTTTCACACAAGCACTAACGCCTGCCAATGCACCATGCTTACTGCTTATCGGCCAGCGAGCCGACAATGCTTACTGCTTATCGGCCAGCGAGCCGACAATGCTTACTGCTTATCGGCCAGCGAGCCGACAATGCTTACTGCTTATCGGCCAGCGAGCCGACAATGCTTACTGCTTATCGGCCAGCGAGCCGACAATGCTTACTGCTTATCGGCCAGCGAGCCGACGATGGTGCCGAAGACCATGGAGGAGCCGAAGCCGGCGATGAAGAGGCGGCCGATGTCGCCCTTGTCGTACCCGTAGTGCTGGTACAGCGCGTACACGTACGGGCCCTGCAACCAGTCGCCCGCTGCCACGGCAGCACGCCAGGCAGGGTGCATGAGGGAGGAGGGGAGGGACGGTGGAAGGAGGATTGATGGATGGGTGCATGCATGACGGCGATGCAAAAACGGCCACTGGATAGGAAGCAAGCCAATGCTAGGACGATTTGGGGCCAGACTTGGGCACAAATACCCTTCACACTTTATCCATACAATCATAACGCATACTCGTTATAAGCCATACCCATCATGAGCGAGTAGACGAGGAGGTAGTTGTTCTTGAAGGAGTCGAAGGCGGGCGACGTCTGCAGCTTGTCGCGCTGCCCCTTGCTGCCCTCCAGCCCCGCGCACAGCGCCACCAGCGCGCCGAACACCGCCCAGAAAAACACCTCCATGCCGCCGCCGCTGCTGCCCACTCTCTCTCCCCACAATCCCCCTTCTTCCCCCCGGACCCACCCTCCTCACTCTCTCTCTCCCTCTCCCTCTCGCTGCACACGTCGCCCTTCCTCCTCGCCACTACTTCCGTCGTCTGTCGAGCGAGGAAGAGACGAGTGCGGCGGAGTGGTCACGTTTGGCGGCCCGACTAGTGAGCGCGGAAGCCGAGCGTGCGCACCAGATCGACAGGTGCGCCAGATCTACCGCTTGCGGCCCACGCCGCCCGTTTGTGTGAGCGGTTGGCGAAGGGTGCGGGGGTAGCAGGTTGGCGCGTGAGGTGGCGCGGCGAGCAGCGTGGTGGAATGCTGCAGCGCGCAGTATGGCGCGCGCCGGACACTACTGCAGCCGCTAGGGCCGGATAGGCGCCAGAATGGATGGCGGTGCGACTGGCATGGAGCCAAGAGAAAATATTTCAAGACGAAAAAGGCGGGAGGACCTCGTGAACAAGCATGTGTGGGATCTGAAACCAAATCACAAGTTATGAGTGCGCGGGTACTGAAATGCACTCGATTCGAAACTACCGAATATTACTGAAGACTACTGAATGCAAGATAAAGGAGGGTAATGTAGGCAGATTCGAGCCAGGCGAGGCGACACAAATTGGCGAGGTTCGGATGGGTGGTGAAAGGTGATGTAGCAAATTGGAGGTTGTTCGGGACGAAAATGTAGGCCGAACCAGCTGATCCAAACCCCTCAGAACACCTGTACGCGTTCCATGGTTTCTGAACCACTTAGTACGCTTCTTTTTGTTCTTAAAAAATATAACTACTTCGTTCAAGCAACCCTCTGTAAACTTCTCCTAAAGGATTTGTGCATCCCAAAAAATGACAATGAACTCTTTCCAAAGCACCACTAGTGCGATTCAGTAGCTAAAACTGTAAAAAATGCAAAGACATAACAACTCATTGTCATCATGTCGTTCGATATATATTTTCAAAACGCACCATAATGACCAAACCTTGCCCTGTTCAAAACAAATTTACAATATAAACATATAGCATTCACTAGAGCATTACTGTAAGGAATTATGATTACTTACTGTATTCAGTTATTAACGATGACATCCCGAGGGCCACGCATCTGTTCTGTTCGGCCTACGATTCCACTCCACACCACTCCCGGGCGCCCCCCCCCCCCCCACCAATCGCCACCTTTCCGAGCCATCTTCGCCCGACGTCTCCGCCTAGCTAGGATTTGCCCATATTAAATCACATTCTCGATATTCGTTTATTCCGCGAACTCTGTAATTTCACACCTGGTATCATAGTGTCAAAGTTATGTTTACATTGTCAGTTAGCCTCTAGTGAGATGCATGCTAGGGGGTACAGGATTTCCCTTGTACCCCTTTGACCTTAACATTAATTCCTCCCTTAGTCTCAAGCTACTTAGTAGTTGAGATGGTATCATGAGTAGGTCGATTTCTACCATGTTTTTAGCTTGTCTCGCACCTGGTCGCGTCCCGTAGCACCCCACAGGCCCTCCCGTCCCGTAGCGACCCGCAGATCGCCCCGTCCCGTCACGTCCCGCCCACCCACGCTGCCCTGCTCGCAGCTACCAGCCGCGCGCGCGCTAGCGTACGCACGCCGCCTCACTCTCGCAGCTGCCAACTCGACTCCGCGCACGCGCAGCAGGCCGCACGCGCGCACGAATAGCTGCAGCTCGCGCACACGCACTGCAGCGCGCGCATGCCCAGCAGCAGCCCGCACGCCCGCCCTGCAGCTCGCGCACGCACAGCCCCAACCCGCGCGCACGCCCTGCAGCTCGCGCTCGCACAGCCCCAGCCCGCGCGCACGTACTGCAGCGCGCGCACGCACAGCCCACGCCCTGCCGTGCAGCCCTGCCGTGCCGCCCACGCCCTGCCCTGTGTCGCCACGCCCTGCCCTGCCGCCCATGCCCTGCCCTGCTGCCCACGCGTGTAGCAGCAGGCCACCGCGCAGCACTAAGGCCCCGCGGCCCCTGGTTCTTAGGCCCCTACGCCCCTTGTTCCTAAGCCCCACGGCCCCTCGTTCTAAGGCCCTGCAGCCCCTCGTTCTAAGGCCTCGGGGCCCCTCGTGCTAAGGCCCTGCTGCCCCTCGTTCTAAGGCCCCAAGGCCCCTCGTTCTAAGGCCCTGCGGCCCCTTGTTCTAAGGCCCCGGGCCCCTCGTTGTAAGGCCCCGCGGCCCTCTATTCTAAGGCCCCTCGGCCCTCTACTCCAAGGCCCCGTGCCCCCCCCCCCCCCCCCCCCCCTTGACCGCACGATAACGTAACTCACCGCTCCCCACTGCGCTAAGCCGCTTCCTACCACACCTAACCACCCGTGCCATACCTTCCAGAACTTACTTTCACTGGCGTTCCACCCACAGAGGCTGGCGGCTGTAATATACTTCCTAGGGTAGTTAGGGTTAGTGTCTGACGTCCCTACGCTTTTCCAATCTGGCTCTACCCGCCACTTAATTTGACCATTCCTAGGGTAGCCCTTCCAGCTTCGTTCGTTCGTCCTCTTTGGCCCCTAGTCTAGTCGAGCACTAGCCATGGCCGCCCCCCGACCTCTTCGTTTCGATGCGAAGGGTAGGGCACTCGATTTCCCCACCTGGCTCCTCCGCATCTAGCTGCATCTGCAGAGCGAGCGCCGGGATGGCGACACGCTATGGGCTCACGCCTCTGGTGACCTGCCCGCACCTTCTCGCCCCTGTGACCTGCCTGAGGAGCCGCAGGCGCGTTTCGATAAGGGCCGTACAGCCATGTCAGTGTGGCAGTCTCGTGACGCTGCGGCTCGTATCGCCCTCACCAGCCTTCTCCCTGAGTCTGAAGAGACCCACTTCACCCAGGTTCAATCTGCCCAGGCCTATTTTGCGGCGATCAAGGCCTGTTACTCCACTCCCACCTCCGCCTCCCTTGGTCGTCTCTTCTTGCCTTTCCTCTTTCCCGACCTAGGCACGTTTGCCCGCACTGCTGACCTGATCGCTCACCTCCGCTCGCTCGACGCTAGCTACCGTGCTGCGAATACCGAGGCTCAGCTGGCGATCCTCCCCCCTCCCATGCCCATCACCATTAACTTCATAGCCACTTCCCTCCCTCACCGTCTTGCACCTGTCTGCGACGCGCTTCTTCTGAAGCACCCTACTGAGCTCACTATCGAGGTCCTTGAGTCAGCTCTAAAGGACATGGAGAGCAACATCCGCTCCGTTGCCTCTGCTTCTGGTGCTGTAGTTCCCCTGCTCTTTCAGGGGTGTATAGTTCCAGAGCTCCCCACTTTCACTGCTTCTCTTGCCTCCACTACGGCTCCTTCTACTGGTGAGACTGCAGCAGTGTCCATTGCGGGTGGGCGGTCCAGGGGCAAGGGAAGTAAGAGAAGAGGGAAGGGTGATGGCGCTGGTGGTGGCGGTGGGGGTGACCCAGGGAGTGGCGGAGGTGGGGACGGCCCTAGTCCGTCCAAGTCTAGTGGAGGGGGCCCTGGAGGTGACCCTGGGCATGTGGGCCCGACGGGAGGGAGCGATGGCGTAGCTAGTTGGTACGCCACGGAAGCAGCGCAGCAGCAGAGGCGGCCGCAGCAGTAGCAGCCACACCAGGGACAACCGCAGCTGCAGGGACAGCATCACTAGCTGGGACAGCCGCAACAGGAGGGATAGCCGCAGCGGCAGGTACAGCAGCAGCCCCGGCAGTGGGGATCTGGTGGACCAGGGGGCTCTGGGCGTGGTAGTGGCACGCCCTGCTGGAAGTCCCATGGTACCCCCCCTACTCTTTGCACGTACCTTGTCCAGTCCGGGAGACGTCGCGGTCAGCCCTGTGGCCGCTTTCAACCTTCGGAACGGAGTTTCACACAGATCACGGACCGCCTTCGCGAGGAGTACGGTGACGGCCACTCCCCGGATTCGGCCCCGCTGGCTCGTTCCCTTGGTCCGTCGTTGTTTCAGATGTTTGCAGAAGAGTTGTTTGCTGCCATGCTATCTGCCTCTGTGATGTATGCGGATGTTGACTATAGTGCTGCTAGATCTGTTTGCTCGTGTGTTCGTAGTTTAGACTCTTTGCCTGTTGCTATTGTAGGTGTTTGTTCTTCTAGTCTAGGTGCTTGTGTAGCTACTAGCCCAGGTGCACCTCCTGCTGAGGCGTCGCTCTGTTTCACGCTGGACTCTGGAGCGTCTCAGTGCTTCTTTCATGGCCACACGACTCTCACTCCTCTTCCCGCTCCGGTTCCGGTTGCACTAGCTGATCCTACCTCATGACCAGCAGTTACACGCAGCTCTACCCTCTTGCGTGCTCACTGGTCTCCACATCCCCTCGTTCTCCAGGAACTTGGTGGGTGTTGGATATCTTCAAGACCACCACGTCGGCGTCTGGTTTCCACCATCTGAGCGTGACGGGACCTGCATGGACGGTGACACTTACGCTCCACTGGCCACGTTTGAGCGGGAGCCAGGCCGCTCTGGTCTCTTCACACTGCACATCCACTCTCCCCAGGTCGCCCCGTCTGGTCTGGTAGCTGCGTCTGGTCAGGTTGCTGCGTCGTGCTCCTGTCGGTCGCTTGCCCACCCGACTTTTCTGTTGCACCACCGTCTTGGTCACCCGTCCCTCCCGCGTCTCTGCAGCATGGCTAGCCAAGGTCTTGTCTCAGGTCTCCCGCACGTGCTAGAGTCGCTCGTTCGCATGCGCCACTGTGCACTCCTTGTGTCGAGGGTCAGCTGCGCGCCACTCCTCACTCTTCCTCCCTTCGTCCAGCCACCGCGCCTTTCCATACTCTCCACTTAAACGTCTGGGGCCCCGCCCCTCGCCCTAGGCCCGAGATAAAGAGCTTCTTTCTGGTGGTCGTTAACGACTAATTCCGTTTCACCACAGTGTTCCCCCTAGCGAAGAAGTTTGTTGTGACTTCTACATTGATCCGGTGGTTACTGGTCACTGAGGCCATTCGTGGTAGTCCTATCGTTTTTCTCCACTCCGACCATGGGGGTGAGTTTCGCTCCGGCATTCTTTCCGGATTCTGCAG